CCTCAGCAATGGGCACTAAGTAACTCAGTGAGACCCTGTCTCTAAATAAAATACAAAGTAGGAATGGGGATGTGGCTCAGTGGTTGAGTGCCCCCGAGTTCAATCTCAGTACCCACCTCTCCACCCCCCGCCCCTCCCCAAAAAGTATCCGGAAGCTCTGGATTCTCCCAGAAGGAAGAAAATCTTTTGATGTGGGGGTAGATGTGCCCCCAAAGGCAGCATGTTGGAAAGCAACAATCGTTTCTGACAGAAAATCACTGAATTCTCCCTGCCCAAGGCAAGAAAGACCTGTCCTCTAAGGAAGGCAGAGAAGGCATCTGTGAGGGCAGGAAAATGAGTCATCACGGCACCCGCATGGAGATATGAAGGGAAGTTCTCAGTGAACTCAGATTGCGGCTGTCAGCCAGCCAGAAAGACTGACACACGTGCAGCTCCTGCCCTCTCCACAGCATCCCTCCACCCATACCCACAAACCCAGCTCTGCACGCTCCACTTCTCACACCCAGCAGCTATGTTCTCAGCCAGAAGCCCGCTTCAGGAATCTATGAGAAACTGTGACAAATCCTCCTTCCACACACTTTCAGAGCTGAAAAAGCCCTGGAGGAAACCAAGAAAAGAGACATGGACAGATGAAGGGACTCTCCTGAGGCCACACAGGTGGCACTAGAATAAAAACCGCCTGGTTTGTTTCAGTACCTCTCTAGCACTGTAACTGTGGCTCTTTGGTTCCATGGCAAATACTTTAGAAATAAAAGCAACAACTGCAGCACATGCCTTTGGGAGTGGTTATTATAAAGAAGACTACCACATTGCCCTAAGATCTGACGGATATGTTAGTGAGCTTTGTGTTGCTACGACCAAATACATGACAAGAACAACTTAGAGGAGGAAAAGTTTGTTTGGGGCTAACATGTTCAGATGTCTCAGTCCACAGATGGCTGATTCCATTGCTCTGGCCCAAGGTGAGGGAGCACATTAAGGACAAAAGCCCAGCAGAGGAAAGTTGCTTGTCTCATGGTGGGATCCAGAAGCAGAGCAGGGGAAGAGGGGGTTGCAGGAGGATGAACCCTTCCAAGGCAGGCCTTCAGTGACCCACCTCCTCCAGCCACACTTGACCTACCCACAGTTGCCACCCAGTTAGTCCCTTCAAACTAGAATGGACTGATGAGGTCACAGCTCTCACAGTCCAAACACTTTACCTCTGAACATTCCTGCATTAACACAGGAGCTTTTGGAGGACACCTCATATCCAAACCATAACAGCAGGTCACTAAATAAAGGCGAGGTTTGACTTCTAATGTGTATTCCAGCCATGGGTGCTTCTGGCCCACACGGTTCTATAACACACCAGCTGCTTGGACTCTCCTGATTTTAGCACAACACTTTGAAAGGCACAAGAAACATCCACTTTAGTACCTTTTTCATAATATGGATTTTTCTGGGTAAAAGATTTGCAACTGAACCATCAATTTAGGGTGGGCCTGAGACTTCTGAAGCCTTTATCCCTACAGAGCTATAGAACTCATGTTTTAATGACAGAGTGCTCCTCTATGTGACAAGATACTTCACTTTGATCAGAATGATCATACATGGCTAGACCAGGAAGCTTCAGTCACCTAGAATGCCAGATATGCCTCACCTGGAAACTGGTAGACTGACGTGGTCATAGCAAGACCCCCCAAATAGTTGGAATATGGCTTAAGGGGAGTCTACCCATACCCAATTATTAAGTGTTTTAGTCAGGGTTTTTATCACTGTGACTAAATACCCAACAAGAACAAAGTAGAGAAGGATGAGTTTATTTTGGCTCCTGGTTTCCATAGCCAACCTCAAAACTCTGAGCCTGAAGTGAGGTGGAACATCATGGCAGAAGGGCATGGTGGAGGAAGGAGCTCAGCACATGGCAACAAGGGAGCGGAAAGGGCTCTGCTCATTAATGACAAAATAAATGCCTCCAGGAACCTACTTCCTCTAGCTACATCCTACCTGCCTATAGTTACTATCCAGTTAATCCATCTCAGCATAATCCACTGATTACGTTAAAGCTCTCATAATTTAATCACTTCCCTGTGAACATTCTTGTATTGTCTCACACATGAGCTTTAGGGGGCACCTCATATTGAGCTCATTAGTTTTCTTATAGACTTCTTCCACATAATTCACTAATTAGGGCCTTGATCCAAGTTAAAATTCCTTGGACTCAGTCTGTATGTCCATTTATTTATTTCATTTATTACTTCTACACAGAACAGATGCATCCTTCACTTACTAGTACTCTTTAAATAATCATTACTATTTTTGTGTGACCTCTTTGCTTCTGTCCAGCGAGGCAAGGTGCATGGTGGTTAAAGATACAGACACTTTGGAATCTAATATATCCAGCAATGAACTTGCAAGGTAATGCCTTAGTTTGTATTTTATCTTGTCTATGCATGGAACAATCACTTCCTTCCCAATGTTGTGATCGAAATTATATCAGACACGTTACATTGTGTATACATCTATTAAATGAACAGCAGAAGGATCATCTGAATTATTTAAATCTGCTTTTCTTTTTATCATCTGGCTACCAGAATTGAATATTTGTACCTTAAATGCCTATATGACACGTCTCCTATTTGTAAGCACTAGCTGCTCAAAGTAGCCTTGCAATAAGACTAGGGAAGCAACCCAAGTGTCCCAGGATGAAGGGAAAAACAACACATGGTATACCATGGAATACTATTCAGCCAAAGAAAAGGGGGAAGGAAATTCTGACATGTGCTACACATGCATGAACCTTGAGGACATGATGCTAAGTGAAGTAAGCCAGTTATAAAAGGATATGGAAGTGTCTAGAATAGTCCAACGCAAAGAGACAGAAGGTAGAACGGTGGCTGATAGGTAGTCGGGCGTGAAGGAAAGGGGAGTAATTTTTGTATGATGGGTACAGAGAATATTTTGTTGACAGATGATGGTGATGACCACATAGCAGTGAGAATTTTTCTAATGCCACTACATTGGACACTTTGAAATGACACATTTTAGTTATGTATTTTTACTATAATTGAAAAAAAAGTCATGTAAAAGTAGCTGCTTCCATCAAGTGCTAGTAAGATGACTCAAGTAGCTAGAGGGGTATACGGTATGCTGTATTTGCTTTCTTTTAGATTTATGTGCTATAATATATTGATATTCTGGCACTTATTTTCAATACTCACATTACTCTATCAACCAAAGTTCTGCTGCAATGAAATTATTAGCTTTGAAGCTTAAAAATTTTACTTGAGTTTGATTTTATTTTTATCTCTTTGATTTTATGAAGAATCCAGAGGCAATAAAATTTGATTATTAAAATGAGCTATTTTAAGTTTTCCTCATTAACACCACTCTCAAAAAAGGTAAAAATACAGGACTTCATATTTTAATTTTTTTAGTGGCACACTTATCTCCCTAATTGCATTTTCACTCAAAGGTAAAAATGTGTATTACTTTTATAAATAAACATCTATGATCTGCATTAAGCAGAAAGCTTAAGTCCTTAAATTGAGGAGAAGCTGGAGGAAGGACAAAACTTAGTAGAAACAATCTACTAGATCCTCGATATCAGGAAAGCCACTAAAAGCAAATAGGTATGAACAGTGACATTAGTGTCTACAGCCAGGAAAGTTGGTGAGGAGACAGATAGAAGAAAAAGCACACACAAAAAAGAAGTGCATTTGAAGAAAATAAAATATAAGTCCTACAAATTCATTTTTAACATATTCCAGTAAAATCTGGAAAACCCTTTCTTGAAGATCCAGATGGTAAATATTTTCCTCCCTGTGGATCACAGGCCTTCTATGGCAAATTCCCAAGTCTGATGAGTGTGGGTGGATGGGCTCCAATAAAACTTTCTTTACAAAAACAGACACCAGGCCAAATCTGGCCTGAGGGCAATAGTTTACTGACCCTTGGTCTAGAAAAAACAAAATAAATAAAGAAAAGGACAACTGGATATGTAGTGTATTAACACACATGGGTAGAATATCACCAATTCTCATTCTGCCTCTCAATGAATCAAAACCATTTAAACCCCAGAAATAAAAAGGTTAAATGTCTCTTTCCTAGCAAAGTTCTAATTGTCTTTCAGAGAAGAGGTAAGTGCATCCATGAGCCAAAAAGTTTATATTGGATCACTCATTCCTACTAAGAATGAGAAAATAAGTCCCCCCACCCATATTAAGACACTTGGAAATTTTCTCTTTAACAACAAATATTTCTTAGTACCCAGACATAAACTAGCAAGAGCTAGATTCTTCCTCTTAGCACCCCAAGTTTCTTCATGGCTGACTCTCAAGATTACAGGATACAACCTGGGACAGTAAGTTCAGGACACATCACTTCATTGGAGGTTGGTTACTGGCAAGACTCCTAAGGAATGCATGAACATTTACAGATGGGAAAGTGTCTACAAGATGCTAATTCTAATGTATAAACAAAATGCATGGAAAGAGCACAGTTGTGTAAAAAAGGAAGACACCTCTCTGTCTCACACATGCACATTCTCACTTGTGTGTGTGTAAAGAAAAATTTTAGGTTACTTTGCTCACCCTGAATAGAATTCTGAGTTTTGAACTGCTCATGTTTTACTTTACATTATTGTCTTTTATATTTGTGTGTGTACTACTTTTAGTATTCAGATTTTTACACTGAGATTGCTGTTAAAAGGTTTATCACCTTTGTCATTAAGAATCAAATTGAATATCAATATTTTTTTAAAAGAATATTGACTCAGGGCTGGACTTATGGCTCAGTGGTAGAGCACTTGCCTAGCACGTGTGAGGCCGTGGGTTCAATCCTCGGTACCACATATAAATAGATAAAATAAAGGTCCATTGACAATTAAAAAAATACTAAAAAATAAAAAAAGAATATTGACTCAAAGGACTTTTACTATCTATAAAGATCACTGCATAACAAGAATATACCACCCATGACACATGATTTTTGAAAGTAAAAATTTCATAGCTGTACACTACCTCAGCTCCTCCCATCCACTTAGGTTCCTCAGGAAACTCAGCACACAATATGTCTTCTGACTGATCAGTCCCCAGGACATGGTAGCAGAGCTTCTGGTGGAGATTGGTGGATGTCTCTGTGCCTGAGGAGTTAAAAATGTATACTGAAGTGCAGTTGGCAATTTTAAGAAAATCAGTTCCACCTATGTTATATAATGCTAGAAACATTTAAAATGTTAACTGTCTGGTTGCAGGATTGATGAACAAAAATCAACTGCTTTCAGACACTAGCAATGAACTAGAAGAGTTTGAAATTACAAACACAATACTACTTACATTAGTACCTAATCAAATGAAAGAAAGAAAGGTATATATCTAACAAAATATGTACAAGATCTGTATGAGGAACACTGCAAAACTTGATGAAAATAAAAGAGTAAATGGAGAAAGAGCCCAAGACTCAATAATGTCAAGATGTCATTATTCCTTCCAACTTGACATATAGATTCACTATGATCCCAATCAAAATCTCAGCAAGGTGTTTTGTGGATTTGGACAAACTCATTTTAAAGTTGATATGAACAGCAAAAAAGACTCAGAATAGCCAACACATTATTAAAGGTAAAGAACAAAGTTGGAGGACTGATACAAATTGACTTCAAGATGTGTAACTGATGTGAATCTGCAATCTGTGTATGGGGTGAAGGTGGGAGTTCATAACCCACTTGAATCAAAGTGTGGAATATGATATGTCAAGAAATTTGTAATGTTTTGAACAACCCACAATAAAAAATTAAAAAAAAAAAAAAAAAAAAAGACATGCTATTTAAAGCTACAGTCATCAAGACAATGTGATATCAGTAGAAAGAATAAATACACAGATCAATGGAACACAAATGAACTCCAGAAAAAGACCCACACAAAGGAACTAAGAAAATACAATGGAGCGAACAATCATTTCAACAAAGGCAGCTGAAATGGTGGGGCATCACATGTTGAGAGAGGGAGGTAGGTGTAGGAGAGGAAAAGAAAGAATCTAAACAGAGACTTTACACCTTTCACAAAAAATTAAATCACAGACATAAATGTAAAACACACTACACTACTACAATAAAACTCCCAAAAGAAAATAGGAGAAAATCTACATGAACATGGATTTGGTGATAACTTTTTAGATACAACAAAAGCATAATCCATGAGATAAATAATTGATAAACTAGAATTCATTAAAATTGAAAAGTTATGCTTGGCAAAGGATATTATCAAAAGAATGAAAAGACAAGTCACAGTCTGGGAAAAATGTTTGAAACACCTATCTGATATAGAACTATTGTTCAAAATACAGAAAGAACAAATACTCAAAAATAAGAAAATAAACAACCTGATCAAATACTGGGACAAAGACCTTAACAGACACTTCACCAAAGAAGATATACAGATGGCAAAGAAGCATATGAAAATATGCTCCACACAGTACATGATCAGGGAGATGCAAATTATATCAAAAGAACTATTACACACCTATGAGAACAGCCAAAATCCAGGACGTGGATAACACCAAATAGCGGCGAAGATATAAAGCCACAGGAACTCTCATTCTTGGCTGGTGGGAATGCAAAATGGTGCAGCCACTCTTTGGAAGAGTTTGAGAGGTTTCTTATAGAAGTACATGTACACTTACCACATGATGCAGCAATGGTGCTCCTTAATATTTAACCAAAGGAACAAATTGTATGTCTACACAAAAACTTATCCACAATTTTTACAGCAATTTTATGCATAACTGTCAAAACCTGGAATCTACTAAACTATCCTTGTGTAGGTAAATGAATACACTGTGGTACACGTAGAATAGGTGGACCAATAATTTAAAATATTTTTTAAATATTTTTTTAGTTGTAGGTAGAAACAATACCTTTATTTATTTATTTTTATGTGGTACAGAGGATCAAACCCACAGCCTCATGCATGCTAGGCAAGCACTCTACCACTGAGCCACGATTCCAGTCCCCAGAATCTTTTTATGGTAGTGAAAATACTCTGTATGATACTATAATGCTAAATACATGGCATTATGTCCAAACCCACAGAACACACAATAAGAGCACACCCTAATGTAAGCTAATGTATCATTATCACCATTTAGGTGATAATGCTGTGTCAATATAGATTCATCATTTATAACAAATGTACCACACTAATGGAGAATGCTAATAATGGGAAAGGCTATGCGTGTATATGGACAGGCAGTAGGTACAGGGGAAATCTGTTTCTTCCTCTAATTTTGCTATGAATTCAAGTTTATTAAAAAATAAATATCTAGTTGCACAATCACCTAAAAGTAGTGTTGCTGATTTTAGAGATAGATATAAGACTGAACTTTAGTTTTTCATTATGAAAACAACAAGTTATCAGAGCAATGAAAGAAAAAAGATATAATATAAAAAATATTTATGGCACTTTGGAGATATTCATAGTTTTCCAGGAACCCTGTTAAGAAGCACAACATGAATTGCTTAGCTTAATTCACAAGGCCCCATTATAGTCTCAGAGGCTACACAGACCCTCTCAATAAGAGGGCAGAAAAATTACAGCTGGGAGATGATGTTGGCTTTCTTAATTCAATCACATTTACTAATTATTATTATTTTTGCCACTTAAGGCTGAAGAGAAATAACAACTTTCATGCTTCTCAGAAGTTAACTTAATAACACTGTACTTTAATAAAACTCAGCCAATTGTGCTTTTCTTATTTTTTGTCTCCCAGAGCTTGGAAATAACCAACACTGTCTAACACTGGAGGACTCTTAACATAGGCAGCTAATTCAGTACAGGGCACAGATGTCTTTCTTTAGCCAACATTCTTGAACAAAAAGCCTACTCTTAGCTCTTCTTATAGTTCATTGGTGAGGTAAGGAAAAGGTCTTACAGTAGTAGTCTCATCAAAAGGCAGCAAAAGCTAAAAGTGGCCAAAGGAGAAGAAAAGCATTGTAACCTTATTCTCAATTCAACTGGATGGGAAAACAGAAAAGAAATCAAGCATATCTAAAGATGACAAAGATACAGCAAGTCACGATAAGGGAGTCACATATAGAAGAAAGCCCCAGAGCAGCATACTCTGTCCTGTCTTCCCAAGTTCTCCAGCAAGTCATTGAGCCCCTGTACCCAACCTCCTAAACTTTAATAGATTGTACAAATCAGCTGTACGACCATGAAGATAAGAAGAGACTGTAACATACCATGTGGAAATGTGGGTAGCATAACGTAGATGATGCTGATGGCTTATACCAGTAAGACCCAGGGATGTGTCCTGTCTGGGGAGATTAAGAGTGAAGGGGAAAGGGGCTGGGTTGTATCTCAGTGGTACAGTGCTAGCCTTACATGTTCAAGACACTGAGTTGGATCCTCAGCACCTTATAAAAATAAGCAAATAAAATAAAGGTATTCTGAAGGGGAAAGAAGGAATACAATAGGATCTTGGTGCAACCAAAGAAAACAATAAAAGTATGACCAGGAAGGAGGAAAGAGGAAACCAAAATACAATCAACAGGTCACTGTAACTGCTGACCAGAGAGATGAGATTACTGCAGCATCGGGTTTTACAATTAACTGAGCGTCATCCAATAGAGTGGTGGTGTTAAAACATCCATCTTCTCCAGTAATCCCTGGCAGACATAACACAACCAAGAAGGACCCATATTAGGGGCATGATGGCCCCAATTTCTGAACCTATTTCCTCACCCTTTGAAAAGGGATGGCCTGACAGAAGTTACTTCCAGGAAGATGGCGGCGAGGGGAGTGCATTACCCCCGTGTGCTGCTTCACTGTGTGGGAGTATGACAAGTCAGGACGGCTAAAGGATATCTTGTTAGGAATTTCCAGCAATAGTGGGGTGCGCCGGAACCTGGAGGAAGGATTTCCATCGCACAAGGATCGGCTACGGGGACTCAAACGCGAGAGGTTTGTCGCACGGAGGGTAAAACTGCTTATTCAGCAAATCGCCCCGCGGCTAGAGTCTGCAAGGCGCGCTGGGATAGAGACGCAGGGTTACAGTGCTGCAGTTTCTGCCAGCCGCGCAAGCATCGCACTCAGGGCTGAATTCTGGGTTCGAGACGGGGGAAGGAAGCGGTCCATCTCGGTTCTCCACACCGGTCAGACCACAGAGGAGGCCAGCAGCCACCATGTTGGTAAACTGACGTCACCACACCTGTTTTTGACTGACCGCAGCTCATTCAGCCATAGAACAGGTAATTTCAGGCTGCAATTCGCCTGCGGCTTGCAGACAGATTGCTAGGGTTCAGCGCCTGGGTGCTTCTTAAAATCTGATCTTATCGGAGTGAACACCGAGCGCGGGGCAGCCGAGTTCCGGCTCCCGGAACCGTCCCGGAACCACCCTGGCTCAGGGCTGCGGAGGCTGCTTCTTGGACCCTGCTACTATCAGAGCAAACACCAAGCACTAAGAAGCCGAATTCCGGCTCCCGGAACTGAGCCCGCGGGGACTGCTTCTTGGAGCTTACACTTATAGGAGCTTACACCGAGCACGGAGCGGCCAAGTTCCGGCTCCCGGAACCGTCCCGGCTCAGGGCTGCGGAGCCCGCGGAGGCTGCTTCTTGGACCCTGCTACTATCAGAGCATACACCAAGCACTAAGAAGCCGAATTCCGGCTCCCGGAACTGAGCCCGCGGGGGCTGCTTCTTGGAGCTTACACTTATAGGAGCTTACACCGAGCACGGAGCGGCCGAGTTCCGGCTCCTGGAACTTCCCTGGACCGGGGCTAAGAGCCCGCGGAAACTGCGTCTCGGTCCGGGTCCTGCTGAGGGCCGGTCAGGACTCACCCGTTGCTTGGGTTGCCCGGCAAGGGGAACGAAATGCTGCCATTCGCATAGGATACCAACATGGCAGAGATCTGATGTCAGCAGAAAGCGGTGGAGGAGAGATCTTCATCAATACCAGCGGTGACATAAGCAGTTGGTCTCCTGGTAAGGGGGGTGAGGCTCAGTCACCCGAGTCTCCTCAATTTGTCCTCGAGCCAGAGGGAAGGAGCCGGGCCGCCGCCAGCCCCCGGAGCAGGCCCAGCGGCTCGCCAGCGTGGTGACCGCGTGACCCCAATTGGAGAGGGGGCGGAGCGGAGCCGCGACCCACA